ATGCAAGCAGATTTTGACATCAAATATTTGGGGTAAAAAAGTGCATCTTATACACCGAAAAATATGGTAATTAAAAACTAAATCTTTCAACATATTTTGTTGACTTCCTTTATATTAATATGTCACTGAACCCACAGAGGGACTCTACGTATACTTGGCACTACTAAAGACTCATTCTTCAGTTAGTGTTTATAAATTTGCTGTTGAAACTGCTGTTGCTTGGATATTGTTATATAAATGAACCATAGACTATAGTAGACATTGCAACAAGGTACTTTAAAATAACTGCCCAAAGTGTCAAATATTTCATCAGGGTATGAAGTTCAAAAGTAAATATTTCTGTTATAATATTTATACAAGGAGTTTTGAAAATAATAATTAACAGTTTTGTATTTCATATATTCTTTGTATTTGTATAGGTTTATAATTAACTGTGAAATTAACTCTTATGTGGAATAAGACTTGTATAAAGTACTTGTAATGTTCAGTGTGAACTTTGGTAAGGTTACTTGTAATGTTTAGTGTGAACTTTGGTAAGGTTACTTGTAATGTTCGGTGTGAACTTTGGTAAGGTTCTCAGTTATTGAAATGTTTTTAATGCAAAATATAAGTTATATAAAAAGCATATTTTGTTTATAACATATATTAAAATGGCTGAGGTTTATTTGTTTATTTTTTTTACAAAAAAATATCTGCTTTATTTCAAGAACCAAATCCCTGTTACATTTGTAAGTGTAAGTGGTGTTTGTATCAGTCAGTAGTGATCATTCTCAGTGGTCATTCCTTCCTTCTTTTCTCCGTTTTGCAACGTATAGCATATGTATTGAGAAATTACTAAAAATGTTTTTTTTTCATTTGGAATTTTTATCACACAGGTGGACAGTAATTATTCTCAGCCGATGTCTCGAACATCAAGCACTCACCAGCTTCAATGAAATGAGCATGCATAGATGTATCTTCTGTGTCTTTCCTAGCCTATTAGAAACACTTCAGTTTTTGCTTAAATGTCCTGGTAATTTTCGGCCTCGACTGCTTAGCACTGTCAAAACCCAGAACTGTATATAGTTCTCACTGTTTGATTCCTAAAATATATACATTGTAATCAAGTGAATTTTGTTGATTAATTGATTATGTAAATACAGTTTGTTTGATGTAACTTCTAAATGTAACATTTTGAAGTGATAATACTCTTGAATTACCCTCAGTAGTGTACTTAAGTTTTTAATTAGCTAGTTTTTAAGAAGGTTGTTTACAAGATTTTTTATATACTCATAAAAAAAAAACAATTAAAGATCACCTAGAAAAATATCCTAACAACATTGTTAAACTATAAGTATTTTCAGAGTTAAGTGAATATATTATTTCAGAAAAAACACACTGTATTATATTTTTTCTATCCACCACAGGCCTTAGTTGCGAAAGATACCAATGATTGTTAAATTGTTAAGTTTTTGTGTTGTGGGAAAATATAATTGTGTAGTCTTTTTTTTTTGTTTTCACTAGGTTTATTTTACAAACTTTTTATTTCGTATACAGTGTAAGTTATTGTGTTTAGAGGTTGTTTTTTGATGTCAGATTACTGGCTTTGACTTTTGTAAAAACAAAGTTAAGTTTATGTACTTCTCTAAGACATCAATTAACTTCTTAATCTAACTTGTATACTATTTGTATTGAAATAACACTTGTTTGTACTTTATGACCATAAAAATCTAAATAGATCAAAATAAAAAAGACAAAACTATCACAGTAAAAAAAAGTTGTGCTGCAGGTTTTGTTAGAAGCATGATTGGTATTGCATATTTCTTCCTTTTTACTAATGCACCCACTTGTATTCCAGAAGAATTCTTCACTTAAAGCCATGTTTTACTCCATGTTGTTATTGTCTGTTTCATTGACCTCGCAAGACTAGTGTCAAAACTAGTATCAGCTGGTCATGATATAGACATTGTCATCAGATGCATATTTATATGATGTCTTGTTTCTTATGCTGTGTTTCTTCCTTATTGATGACAAGATATCTGTATGTGTGAATTTGTGTGTATGTAATTCATGATGTAGAAATCTGTGTAAAAGATGTTCATTTTCACAGGGTGTTTGCACCTCAGCTAAACACATTGTTGTATTACTAGACGTGACATTTTTTCATTCATGAAATTATTTGATGATTTACTGCAAACATTAATTTATTTTATCTTCATTCTTAAGTTGTCATTTATTATTATAGAGTGTAATAATAATTAAATATTCCTTGTAAATTTTAACTTTTTTTTACTATTAAATAGTAAATATTTTTGTATTAATGTATTTGTCAAAATTTAATCACATATTATATATTTCTTCGGAGCTACTCAAATTTGACACCAACCCTTTAGGTAACATTTTTGGATTAGATTAAATATATATATATATCTTGCTGATATGGTATCTCTGTTGATTAGTGAAACTCTCATGTGAGTGAATCTACAAAATTTCTGGTATTATTTACTTCTTTTCCTTTGATAAAGCAACTAGTGCCATAGGTTAAAAGTTACAGAAAATAACACATAGAAATATAGAACACAGCATTCTCAAAAAAACAGTTGCTCATATTCTCACCACCATGTTTAATGTCAGATGTTTGGAGATTTCAGGAGTTCACTGATCTTGTTTATTGTATCAAAATTTTGTATAAAAGAATTTTAAAATGATGTTTTAATCAGCCACTCAAACATAACTCATTTGATGGTAAAAGAGTAGTCTAAGAGTTGGCAGTGGGTGGTGTTGACTGGCTGCCTTCCCTCTAGTCTATCATTAATAAATTAGGGATGGCTACCCGGAGAGAAGATGAAAGCCACCAGATAAATGTGGTCGAGAATCAGTGGTAGTTCATCAGTATCTAAAGTGGCACAATGATCATAAGTGGACTCTGGAGCCAAAAACATAACTCGTGGAAAAGGTGCATTGATCATGTATTTGTTAAAACTTTATTTTATAGATATCTGTTCATTTCATGGTCACTTAAATATTAAAAAATATCTAACATCATGTGTGGAAATGAGAAGGGCTACTTGCTATTAGCCATTTTAGAAGGCACAATTACAGTTATGATGGCAAGTTAAATAAATATTTTTTAGAGGCGTATAAAACATACATCTGTCAAAAAAGTTTATATTCTCAGTAAACGTTCATATGCTGCAAAATATGTTGTAAAAGAGCAGAAAAATATATTTTTAGCGAACAGTCAAGACTAACTGATAACCCATTAGAGACCTTATTAGAAATACTGTTACAGGGATTACTTTGGGATGGAGAAATAATTCAAACAGAAAGGAATCTTCCCATATGTTAACAAGGGATGTCTGCATCAACCAGGAGATACTTTACACTGTTGGGCATCAGATTAGTATTCAACCCACACAAAACATTATATGAATTATTTAATTACTTGCACTCGTCAAGGATCTCAATTCATCCTTTGAAGTATCTTTACTAATCACCCTGGACATATGCAAAACTAATTTAATAAACTCATATAGAGGAGAACTTAAATTAGACTCAATATAAAGTTCTAGCTTAGGATTCTAACAATATCTTATTTGTGAAGCTCTCGTTGAATTTTAACATCATAAGAAGGATATTTGTTTTTAATGTGACTAAGTTTTACCTGAAATGAATAATAAAATTTCCTGTAATATTACCTTCGTCTATTTGTGTGTTCTGTGAGATATACTCGTATTATTCTAATCTTATTATAGAGATTGTTTTGCATTCTTAAATTAGTATTTGGATTTAGGACTAACCAAAATTTCCTAAGCTGGACAAACCTCATAAGATATTATTGGGTTTATGGCCGAAAATAATGTCAAGCGGAAGGGTACCTAACAGGTGAAACAATGTATTCTAATCTAATGTTTACAAGAAAAGTATATTTAATTAGCTATACTCATTATCAGATTAATTTTTAATTTTGATCTATGTAGGTAGCTTACATTGATTGGAAGTTAATATTAACTACCTTTGTAATGTTTTGTCACAGGTTAATTAATAGTTCTTGATACAAGCATTTTCATCAAGACTGTTAATGCTCTTTTTATATTTGTTATTTAGCTGTGATTAGAATTTCAAATTGCATGGCTGGTTGTTAACTTCAATGAGTGTTGATTGTGATTTAGATAAAATTAGTTGCTTTAAAAAAATGCAGTAACATTTATAAAGAAGTGTAAATGAATATAGCATTGTTGAGCACCCCTTAATACATTACATTGCTTGCATCGCTGTGTATAAGTTGAATGAAAGGAAACGTTCTCATGTTCCCTAATGATGATAAGTTGTATAATGAAGTAAATGTTAAAGAAGGTTACCTAAAGGTTGATGTCAAGAGTTTGTTGTTTTGGTTTTTCTTGTAAAATCATTTTTTTGTTTGAAATGTTACCTTTTTTTGGAATAATTAACACAAAATGATAAATGCGGGACACCATAGGAACACTTGAAATACTGTAAAGTGCTTAAAATTCAGAATTAATTAATAATTTGAAAATACGCGGATGTCAAAAATAAAATAATCTTTAACCTTGAAAAGTACTTGAATTTTAAAATGTGATTTCCAACTCCCCACCGTTCTATATATGAATTAGAAATGATTAACTTGAAGCAGTAGAGTCTTCAAAATAGCGTGTACTTAGTAAGATGCTGCCACACGTGATTATTTCACCACTTCATTGAAAAGAACGTTTCTTCTATTAGGCCATTGGAAATGAATTTTAAATACACAAATCCCAATTTTTGCCTGTAAGACGGCAACACAAAATAGTTAGTTCGAAGAGAGTTTTACGTTGAAGTTTCCAAATTGTCAACAAATCTTGTCAGCTTTGATCATTGGTTCCGAATATTAGAGTTCATCGTACGTACTGAAATTAGTGATGACTCATCTTATAGTACGACCAAAAGTATTTATAGCACTGTATTAACAAGAAAAATTTGTAATGAACAATGATGTTAAACTGTTACTTCGAGTTCAAATGATAAGTTACAAGGAGATAAAAACGCGTTATTGATGTTTTAGTTAATTTTTCTTACCCAGCTGTTTATAAATTATGTATAATGCTGATTATCAAAAGAATGATAAGTATGGAACCTAATAATTTTAACAGAACATTATTGCTCTAACATTTGCTGATATATTTTGATCCATCTTTTGGTGAGATAAAATATATTAAATGACTAACATTTCCTTTGTTTCGACTTACTCATTAAAGTTAGAACAATTTCATACGTTTCTACTCGTTTTATGTAACCCAAGGATTAGCCGAAGGTGAATTTAAACCCCTATTCAAAAGAGCGGTTTTAATTCTTGTTGAAAACAGCAACAGCATGAGTTAAAAACACCACTTTAAATACAGCTTGATCTGTTGTGTAGCCTAGGATTATTGATGCGACGACATTTATCGAAACCATTCTAAAGCACAAGTCTAAATTTTAATCTATTTTATCACCGGAAATTGGTGAAGAAAACATTGTATGGGCGAAAATGAAAATACTTGCATAATATCTGTATATTTCTGTATGCTGTTCTAATAATTTAAATACATGTTCATAGAATAACATTTGTTGATTAATTTTTATTCTGTATTTGTTTGTAGTTAAGCACAAAGATACACAATGGACTATATATGCCGTTCCCACAACGGGTATCGAAACCCGAATTTTAGCGATATACGCCTCCAGACTTACTGCTGAGACATGGGGGTTTGTTAACTCATGTTACATTTACTTAATAGATTGACAAACGTATTCACTGGACTAGTTAAATAACGGTATAGTTTTGAAACGCCTCTTTCGTTAAGAGCTCCTGTACCAATCTCAAAATACTACTGTGAATGAATGTAAAAGCAAAACATTTGTCAGCTATGGTGTTAAAACGTAGTTATTGTAACTTTATATAGGATTTTTACACTTAATGCTTTGCATCTTAACTAGCATGGTTTTAGTATAATTGTATTGTAAAATAGTTGTTCAGTGTAGTAACTTTTACAACGATCAACATTCAGCATAATTTATGATGTGCCCTAGTCGCTAATCGTGTATATTTCGTTTTTATTGCTCGAGAGTGTATTAGATGGTAACAAAAACAAAATAGCCATTAAAATGTAATGACTGTTTTGAAACTATAAACATTTTCTACTTTTAAAAACAATATATATAACTATGAATGGCTTTCTAGATGCTAGCATGCACTTAAACAATTGAAGTGAACAAACAATAGCAAATGTTTATTCTAGGTGGCGCTGTATATAAAATATTATGATCATCTGGTGAGACAATTCGTATTTGATTTTATGATGAAGCATTAGGCAACCAAGAATTATTTAATGGTTTAAAATAGTTATTAGTAAAGTAAGTTTGTGAGATATTTTCTTCTATTCCTGCTCTAATTTCTTGATGTTTTCAAAAGATTTCATTGCCTAAACAAACCAATTTCGACGTTATACAAATTTTACTTTATTCAAACAGTAGAGACTAACTAGTGTGCTTTTCTATGGATGTGATTATGATATGATAAGTATTAAATTGCTGAAAATGTTTGTTTTGAGTGATTTAACAATGAAATATTTTAAATGAGCATCACTTGGCCACTGTTTTACATGTGTAGTTTCTAGATGGTAAATTCACTTACGTAATTGGATTTTGTCACCTAGTGCTGATTGATGTAACTGTTGACAAGTGTTAATAAATACGTAGTTCACTCCGTATTTTTTTTTTATTGTTATCTTCAAATGTTAAGTACAGCGTTAGGGTGTGGGTAAATTTAATTGAAACATTTCCAGCCAATAATATGTGTCGTCGTCTTAACAATGATAATTATCATAAAAGTCCGCTGTATACTCCTGTAATTATTATATTTTACAATAGCAATAAATTATTTGTACTTGCAGGTCAATTATTATTATCAAAAATTTGAAAAAATCGTGCGTAAGAATTTTTACTAGAAGAGACTCTCAAAAGATTTGTGGCCAAATTAGTATCTTTATTACAATAGTACTTCTTTGGTCTCTGCTAGTTTAAAACAATAGGCCTAACATTAGTTAAGCCTTTATTAAGTACGTTCTATATTCGATAAAGAGGTAAATTAACACTAACTTGTGTACGTTTTTTACTTTGATTAGGGCTACATTTTACTATACTTAATATTATCAATAAATAAATTTATAATGTTATTCTACGACCTAATGTTAGACATTTTTTAAACGTTGATAAGCTTTTATATGTTGTATAAAAGTCTACAG